GGCTCCAACAAGCTGAGGTTGGTTTGTGGCACAACGAAGGTTCTCATTTAAAACTCGGCCCCTGGACCTCCGCGGGCACGGGGGGCACGGCGCTGACCCAGCAGTAGCTGCAAGCACCGTGCGCGTCGCTTTGGGTGGAGCGCTGCTACGGGAGGCTTCAGCCAACAGTAATATTTCCTCATTTTCTTTCTATAATCCAAAAGTGGTTTAGTTGTTAAATCATCTTCCTGCCTTCAAAACAAACAGCTTTAAACTCAAGGAGCTGGCAAGTCGCTTCCTAAAGATGAGATGTTGGCACCGGGCAGTCGAGCAGCCAGGCGCTGGAGATGCAGACAAGAGGCCAGACCCGCTCTCCGCCACGCAGCGAGCATCCCCACACGCTCCCAGCCCTGGCACAGGGCACACGCTAACCCTTCCATCCCTGCACCAGCCCTCCCACAGCCTGTCCCGGGAGCTCGTTAGCAGCTTGCTAATTTGCTTAGCATCACAGGGAAACAGCTAACGACAGCAGAAGCAGCATCCCACTGCCACACGTAACCTCTGCCTCCCTCTGTGCAAAGCGGCTGTGCCAGAGAGACAAGAGCTGGTGGCATGAAACCCGCGTGCTTGGACCGACGGCAACACACGTGGGTGATGCCAGGGCAGCCCAGGAGCAAGGCTGAGCACGGGTGGCAAGTTGGTGGCCCCACAGGTGACACGTTAGGAAGCAACACCCTATACCTGTTCACTTGAGGCAGCTCTAGCACTGCTATGGGTTAGGAACAATGAGAGGGCACGTGGCCACGCACCAGCCCCGAGGCGTGCGTGTATCAGGGCACCGAGCGCACTGCTTGGGTACGTGCCTCTCCTCCACGCTCAGTGCCAGGCTTTGGCTTCCTTTTCACACTCTGCCCTTCAATTCATTATTCCACATCTCATTAAAGCGATGAAGGTGCAGGCTCCGCACTGCAGCTGAGACCCAGCATCGCCCGGTATCCCAGCAGTCGTGCTCCCGACTCAGAAAGTCTCCGGTTAATCCCCCCCCTCCCCGCGCCCTGAGCCCCGGCGCGTTGGCACAGCATCTGTGCAGCCCCGTAAATAGCCCGGCTGCGGTCGTGCAGAATGGCACGGCAGCGCGGCTACGTGCCGGCTACCTCGGCCGGAGCCGCGGCGCAGCGGCTCGCGCGCTGCGGACGGGGAAGGGGAGCAAGCGGAGCTGGGAGGCTCATCTGGCTCTGGCTTCTGTTTGGAAAATCTTTATCGGTGCCATGTCAGACCCAGAGCTTGGAGGGCAGCGAACAGCCTCTGCCCGAGCCTGCGGCCAGCAGATAACGCAGCCCGGAGCGCAGGCAGGAGGAAGGAGGATGGAGGGGAGAACGAGGGGAGTCAAACTGCTGCTCTCCAGCCTGGGGATGGAGACCTAGCTCCACAGCAAAGCCCTCCCCACAGCAGGGAAGTCGGGGGGGCTCTATTCCCACCAAGAGATGGGGGGCACCAAGAGCTTTCCCCGAGCCATGCCACCTGCTCTCGGGGCGTGCACCATGACAAAGGGGGGCAGGAAACCCCCGTACCTGCCAGAATGAGCTTGACTTGCTACAGCTGGACACACACCTGAAAGGAAGAGCTGGCTCCTCTCCCAGGGAGTTGTGCCCGCGGGAGCACACGCAGGAACCACCCAGGCGACACAGAAACAAGGACACTGCCCTTCCTGGGAGGCTCCCTTGGGTGGTTGTGCATGGGGCGTGAAGGGAGAGCAGGATCAGGTCCGGATGGGGGAGAGGCAGGTCCAGACACATTCCCCCAGCAGTGCAGAGGGGACGAGCAGGGCAGGGGCAGTCTGAGAGCCAGGGCTTTGCTCAGAGGATGGGTCTTGGCAGCCTGGCATGAGGTCTGTGCCTGACACAGGGTTCAGAGGCCACCTGCACTGGGGGGCATGGGGAGACTGGGCTCCCCAAGGAGCATACAGGAGCCCTGGCACACAAGTTTGGGGAAGGAGGGGGCTGGGGTGAGCTGGCTCTGGCTGCAGCAGGCTGGGGGGCACGGGGGCATCGAGGATACAGGGCTCCAGTATTTTTCCACATCTTCACAGCACATTGGCAGAGTTGATTCTGACAAGCAGCCAAGGGAGCAAAGGGAGGGAGGGAACATTTCGGAGATGTACCCATCAGAGTCATAGGCTGTGGCAGGAGGTGACCTCTGACAGCCCCGTGATGCTGCTGAGGGACCCCAGGGGAAGACGGCGGTGTCAGCCCAGGCTACACAGACTGGTGGTGCCAGGGCTGTCCCCACAGAGCCAACTGGGAGGGGAACAGGGACAGGAGAGGACAAAGAACAGTCCCAGCGCTGTAAGAGCTCAAGGGAGCAGGCAGGGCACCGTAACGGGCTGCAGCCCTGGGGTGCTCAGAGGAGACAGGACTGTGCATTGGGCAGAGATGTGGTGTGACTGGGGCAGAGACCAGTGAAGGTCCCCGAGGGACACACGTGGGCTGTGGTGCAGGTCAGGGTAGCAGTGAGCCCCAGGAGGGGGGTGCAACAGAGGAGGAAAGCGCTGGCAGAGGGTGCAGGGAAGGGCTGAGGGCAGCACGCAGGGATGCTCCCCAGGGCTGGGTCTGAGCCTGGGGGTGAAAATGGGGATCCTCAGGAGGAGGGGCACAGGGCTGGGGTGCTGCAGACGTGCAGGGCACAAGGAGGGTCCTCACAGGCAGGGCACAAGGCTGCCAAGGCACAGGGTGGGAGCTTAGGGAAGAGTGTCCTTGGGAGCAGCACACAGAGGAAGGGGAGAGAGTGGAGGGGGCACACAGGCAGAGCCCAGGACAGGTGGTGCTGTGCAGGGGGTGCTTGGGGTGGGCAGCAGCAAAGAGGGATCCCGTAGGGGACCGAGGCGGGTGATGGGAGCAGTGGGGAGCATGCCTGGGGCTGGCAGGGGTGACAGAGGAGACTGGGACAATCAGGGATGCAGTCAGGGGAGCCCAGGGGTGGTTATACTGGCAAAGTGGTGAGTTAATGTGGAGGGAGGGGTGTCACAAGAGGTGGGGGGAGCTTTGGGTGGTCCTCTGAGGGCTGGTGATGCCAAGCAGGGATTTGAGCAATGGGGTGACGCTGGGGGGAAAGGGGGCTGCCCAGGATTGGGGTGTCTGGGAAGGG